AGCAATGGCAGCTGCGGTGCTAGTCTCTGCTGTATTATGGCTGTTACTGGGCTCAAAACCAATTACTCAGGGATTGAAATATTCTCAGGCCATGGGAAACTTCTTAACCGGTTTTGCTGGTCCTTTAAGGGTGTATCCTCGTCATACAATTTTCTGGTTTTTCATTCAAGCTCTAGTGCTATCAACTTTATCTGTTCTTATATCTCCAAGTTTGTGGGATTCACATTTGAGCTTGATATTGATTCATGCATCCATTCCAAGTTCCCTATTACTGTTAGCTTCTACGTTGGAGAAATTAGAGGGATCATCATCTATGGCAGCATACGCTTATAAACATCGAAAAATCCTCGAAATTATACTGGGATGTTTGGGAACTGCTTTTGTCCAATACTACTTCAAAGCCAAATCTATCCCTCTCATGTTATCTTTCTTGTCTTTGGCTATTGCCTGGCTGGGGAATCTCGCGAACGTCCAGCGCTGCACAGATTTTGGGATTTTTCATTTCCTTGTTACTGCAAGCTTGGAGTGTGCTGTGAGTCTATTTGGTCTCCATTTTCATACTTTCCTCGTCGTTGCGGCTGGAATTTTCTTGATGGTCTTGAAGTGGAAGATCGTGGAGGTCGAATTCGTATCATTGAGGTATGATGGCATGCAAGAAAGCGTCCTGAAGGATTTGAAACGTTTGGAGGAATTGTATGGCGGCCATGACTCCACCATCCAAACGCAGCAGTTGGAGCAACCCAACAATATCGTCTAAACTTGAAGATGCCATGGGATAAGATGCATAATACATGGGTTATATTCTCATGAATTACAGTTGATTATGTTGATTTAGCAAAGGAAACGTTTGTTCGTAATTACATGTTCTAGGATTAAATACCAAAATGATTTGTGGTCAAAGGGATGCGCATATAAACTCTCTGTAGTTTTATCTCTTTATGGTATTAACTAGAGTGAAACGTTTAAATTTCTCTCGTACTTCGCAGTCATAAAAGTTAGATTGGTAATTTAGTTATCACTTTTTACGTGAAAATGTATTGATTCAATTTTCTTCAAGGACTAAAGTTGCAATTTTAAAAGATGGTCATCTTTTTCCCCGGGAAGGCCTTTGCCGTTTGTCTTTTCCAACCATATTACAACCCTGGCCAAATTAGAACGACCTGGATTTCAAAAAGGACAATGGCCAATTTCGTCTTTGAACTTTTTTTATTGGTACCAATTTATTTCCTAACTTTTATTTCTGATCAATTTGATATTTGAATTTATTTTGTAGTTTTAATTAAAGATCTTCGTGGTAGCACCACTATCTAGAATCAATCCGACTTCTAATTAACTAACTAAACAAGAACATTATGGGAGCGTCACTCATGAAATTGTAATAAAACAAGTAAATCGTGTAAAAAATCACCAGATAAAACTTTTAAATTGTGTAAAAAATCACCAGATAAAACTTTTTTAGAGTTTAATCTTGTGAAATTTAAAAAGTTTAATCATGTGAAATAGTATGTATCTAGTCATGCTTGCCAGTAGAAGAGGTCATTATATATTGGGTAAAATACACTTTACTCTTACGTGATTTAATGATTTTTCATACAACCCTTCCGTAGTTTCAAAAGGCATGCATAACCTCTTTAATTTGTCACCTTTTCCATCAAACTTTTAGAACCGTGCTTAACAATTCTGTCATAATGTTACAGGTTTCAACGAAGACTTCAGGTCGTCTCAATTTGCCACCTTTTTGGGCAAACATTTAGAACCACAATTAACAATTCTGTCGTAAAGTTACAGGCGTCGACGAAGACTCATCAATTTGGGCAAACATTTAGAACCATGCTTAACAATTCTGTCATAATGTTACAGGTTTCCACGAAGAAGACTTCAAGTCGTCTCATCAATCTGGGCAAACATTTAGAACCATGCTTAATTAACAATTCTGTCATGATGTTACAGGTTTCCACCAAGACTTCCAAGTCGTCTCGTCGATTTGTCTCCTTTGCCACCAAACAATTGGTTGATGGTTTTCAGCTAGTTTCCACGAAGACTTTCTACTAAACACGTTTAGAACCGTCGTTGGGGCTTTTTATCAAAGACCGATACCAAAGAAACCCAATGCTGCGTCTTCTAAGTACTACCTGATAATTAACGACAACGTTCTCATTATTAAGTATTAGCTATTCATGGCATAAACTTGCCCAATTCAATGTGGCAATTAATTGGATATATTGAAGCCAGCCTTGGTATGGTTACAGGATCAAAGGATACGTTTATACAACTCAATGGCCGAAAGTCTCATTTAAATATTTTGATAATCAAAATAAGAATTTTCCTTTGGCAAATTAATTCAAGATCCATTTTCATGAGCTCCAATTCAAATGATCTTCCTCTTTAGCAATTGAAATATCAAAACTCTCCGACATGTATCAACTAATAGACTCAAAGTGCGTTTGATAAACATGTATTAACTCGTATCAACCAAAATCTGAGATCTAAAATTTGAAATCTGAATACTGAACTATTAAATATTGAATTCGATATGACTTGTTATCTGAAAACACTGAACATAGTATGCCTGTTGTATAGTTATAGACAACTGAATATTGAATTTTATATATTTTATAAAATTGACCTTATGTTGATTTATTCATTAATGATGTTATTAAAATGTTATATTTATTGGTAATATATATGATTTAATTTTTTTGAGCATAGATATTTAAAAATAAAACAAGAATGAACCACAAAAATAAAAATAAAAATACAATATAAAAAATTTGTCCAAGAAAAAACAAATTTATTTGAGAAAAAGAAATAAATTTTAGCACAATCTTCAATAGCTTCTTTTACTCCCTTGTTAACATCTGTGAATACGGTAAAACAATTATTTTAACATAACAAAAGTACAAAAAAAATTCTTGCATTTTAACATAACTTATCACTTTTTTGTTTGGAGTATGTTTTGTTGAGACAATTTAGAACCACTTAATTAATTAAGAAGTTTTAATTTTCTTGAACTTGGGGGACAAACAATTACTCAGCCCCAAGTTCAAGAAGGTAAAGTGGAAATAACTTTTTCTTGTACCTATACTTTAATGAAATTTTAAACACAGAGCTTCCATCTTTCAGGTACGTTTTTGTATGACAAAATTGTTTTATGTTTGCTCTTTTATTTTTATGGATAATTCTATATACATATGGTGGATATTAGGGTGGTGTGCTTATAGCATTGAACCGAGCATGTATAACCTTTAAGCCAAGCTTTGTGCTTTAGGGGTACTCTTTTATTCTTAGCCCATAGGACAATGGATAAAAAAGTCCGCCAGGAAATATTTTGGAGACACAAATTTTACATTCAACGCAAAAGCATAATCAAGGGCGGCTGATAATACCATTATCTTGTAATGGGCTCACCCTTCTTCTTTTGGTTACTTATCCTGCATATTAGTGCATGGAAAAAGGAAAAAAAAAAAAAAACAACAAAGAAGCTAATTACAATTTTTTTTAAAATTTTTTTAATAAGGGCTCCAAACCTTACATCGGAGGAGGAAAAGGAAAGAGTTTACGGCAAATTATATTTTACCCCCCTGTGATTTATTTATTTATTTATTTTTACATAACCTTCCTATAATTTTAAAAGTTATACATAACCCTCTCATGATTTAAATTAAAGTGTCAAAATGACGAAAATGATCATTCGTAACGGAAGTTTTAAAATGTCAAAATTATCCTTATAAATACATGACATACTAACTTCATATGGTTTTGTGCTTTACATATAATCCCGTTATGGTTAAATAGTTTACCATATAACCTCCTTATGGTGTAACACTTTACCATATAACCCCCTTAGGATTTTTAAAATATACACATAACCCCCTTTAGTTAATAAATAATTTTCAACTTTACATAAGGGTATTTTAGATGACTCCGTTACGAATGATCATTTTCGTTATTTTAATATTTTAATCCAAACCATGAAAGAATTATATATAACTTTTGAAATTATGAGAAGGTTGGAATTTGCCCAAGAGTTTAAGACTCAAATCAGAGATCTCATAGTTATGTAAATAATGCCCGGTATCACCTAATTTACGTTTCCAACAAAACTAATCACAATTTTGTCATTTATTATATAAGTTTTTGAGTTTTCCAAAACACTACAACCATCCCTCATTTCTTTGATTTTGTAATTCCCATTTTTTTGGTTAATTTCAACCTTTCAAGTTTAGGATATTTGACAGATATTGATTAATTTGGTGATTTTCTTGTTAAACATTCTCATATTAATCTAAACTGTAAAAGTGAGGAGCAAAACTGATTTTCTTTTAATAATGACGTGAATCACCAAATTGATATCCTACCTGCTAAAGTGTGTGGTATGTGTGTCACGACTGCCTTCCATTCACGGCAGAACAGCACGCCCGCATATTTTCAAGATATCACGACAAATATGTAGGACTTCCTTCTCTCTCTTGTTTTGGAATGCAGACTTGAAATTGTCCATTTCTCGTCGTTTTTCTTCTAACCTTCACTTTTTGATGGTTAAAAGGCAACTCAGATGTTTTAGTTACATAAAAAAGCTTATTATGAGTGTTCAATGATGTTTTCATTGGAGGAAAAAATACAGATCCGCATCAATTTATTTGGGCTAACAAAGATAGCAAATTTCTCAAGAATTTGCATGAAACAAATAAATAAATAAAATTATATTCTGTTTTACTCCCCCCTTAAATGTTGGGGGAACCTTTGGTTGATTAATCCTAGCACATCATAAATCAATTGGTCCATGCCATTGCCAAATTCGGATATTAAAATTTTCGAACAACTTTTCATTCTGGAAATTGTCAGCATCAGAAAAGATAAAGTACTTAACAGCTGTGAGACTTTCGCAAGGGCTGTTGTGTGGTTTTATCACCTTCCTACGAACATTAACAGCCGCAGCTGATCCTTTATCACTTGTATAAATGGTACCACCCATCTGACCTTGTTTCATCAAATAACCAATGTACCAAAGAAATCCAATGAGGCATCCGAATTTTCTTGATACTACTTCTTCATTGCTGTCCTTGTTCTTATTCATAACTATTTTGGTCACCAGCCAAATTCCACTTGGCTGCACTGGACAAGCTCATTCTTCAAATTTCACCTGCATTGAAAGTGAACGACAAGCTCTTCTTCAATTCAGAGATAGCTTGATAGATGAATCAAATCGTCTATCATCGTGGATTGGAGAAGACTGCTGTTCATGGGATGGAATTAGTTGCAACAAAGTAATTGGCCATGTGGTGAAACTCGATCTATGCAATTCGGAACAACTTGGATTCGAATTTTATAGTCATTGGTATCATTGCAGATCTTGCTTGGCAGGTGATCATTTAAGCCCATCTTTGGTCAATTTGACCATTCTGCGACACTTGGACCTGAGCTTGAATAATTTTTCAGGAATCCGGATTCCCACATTTCTTGGATTGCTCAAAGACTTGAGATACCTCAATCTCTCAAATGCAGGGTTTGTTGGTGAAGTTCCCCATCATTTGGGAAATCTCTCGCATTTAAGGTACTTAGATATTGGTGTTGCTTTACGTCGAATTATACAAAATAAATTGACGAGTAATGATCTTGAATGGGTCGCTAGGCTCTCTTCTCTTGAAACACTGTCCCTAAACAGTGTAGACCTTTCGGGTGCTCAAGATGTGTTCAGGGCAATTAACATGCTTCCTTTGCTAAAAGCACTAGATTTAGAGGGTTGTGGACTTACCGTTCCTCATCTTTTACACGTCAATTCCACATCTCTTTCTTCCTTGGATCTCAGTGCCAATCAATTTATCAACCCCACCATCCCTCCTTGGCTGCGTAACCTTACGGGCCTCCAAGATCTTAATCTTCGTTTTTGTTATCTAGGTGGTGAGGTTCATGATACATTTGAGCAAATGACATCTCTAGTTAAACTCGATCTGTATGGAAATCGCTTTGATACTTCAACATTGAAATGCATTTGCAACATTAGCAGTCTTACAAGTTTACAGATGTCCGAAAATAACTTGCAAGGGTCAATACCCAGTGAAATAGGTCAGCTTCGGAAACTAACTCGACTATATTTGTTCTTTAATGAGTTAAATGGGACGATTCCTTCAAGTCTTTGGGAACTCACCAAGTTACAAACATTAGAAGTAGATAGAAATTCATTAACTGGTGTACTATCTGAACACCATTTTGTGAAACTCAGAGAGCTAAATAGTTTGTACATTTCTTATAACTTCCTCTCTCTGCACGTGAGCTCCTCTTGGGTTCCTCCTTTCCAACTAAGGCACATTACGATGGATTCTATCGAAACAGGGCCCCAGTTTCCAAATTGGCTACGGACCCAAAAGGAGATTGAAGTGTTATTCATGCAAAATGTGAGCATTTCGGATGCCATACCCAGCTGGTTTGGAGTGCATTTTAATTATCTTAAAGCCTTAGATCTCTCCCGTAACAATTTGGAAGGATCTCTAAAATCATTTGCAACAGGTATTTTGAATTTGGATCTTTCACGAAGTTCATTTGCAGGAAATAGTAGCTGATTATTACTATTATTATTATTTGATGCAGCAGTTGCTGATGTTGATAAAGAGGCTATAAAAATAGAGTCTCTTTACCTCAGTTACAACCGTTTCACAGGTAGTATCCCAGAAGACTTGTGCAGGCTGAAAACTTTAATGGTTTTAGATCTATCCAACAACCATTTGTCTGGAAGCATTCCTTTGTGCTTGGGTAACTTGCGACATTTGGTCGCCCTAAGTTTGTCAGATAACAACCTATGTGGTCAGATTCCAAGTTCACTGGGTAACTTGGAGGAACTTGGTACTCTGCATTTGAGCGGAAATAAATTTGATGGGAAGCTTCCATCGTCAATGCAAAACCTGATAAGATTGCAAATCCTTGATCTCGGAGAAAATGGAATAAAGGATATTATACCAGTGTGGATTGGGGAAAGGTTATCGGACTTGAAGTTTCTGAGACTCGAGTCAAATAATTTCCGTGGAGGTATTCCTGATAAATTCTGCCAACTCTTGCATCTTCAGGTGCTCAACCTAGCACACAATAATTTATCAGGATTTATTCCTCACTGCTTTAATAACTTCACAATGATGGTATCAAGAGAAGCAGCATCAGCTGACTTGCTAATGATCAATTATTTTGAATTAAGACTTCTAAACTTGAAGGGAGGAAGAGAACTTGAGTATTCAAAAAACTTATTGTCTGTTAAATCAATTATCCTCTCAGCAAATAATTTAGTTGGTGAAATCCCTGATGAGATAATGGATCTCGTTGGGTTGCAAATTTTTAACCTTTCAAAAAACCATCTAAATGGGAGGATCCCCCAGAAGATTGGCAATTTGAAGCAACTTGAAACACTTGATTTGTCGATGAATGAACTCAACGGGGAAATCCCTCCAAGCTTGTCTGGTTTAAACTCATTGAGCTCCCTGAATTTGTCATACAATAAGCTATCAGGACCAATACCATCTGGAAATCAACTTCAGACCTTGACTGATCCATCCATCTATGAGGGAAATATTGGACTCTGTGGGAAGCCACTCAACAGCTGCCCTGCAGACGAATTGCCGACAGAAAATGGACGGACCCATTCTTGATGGTAAAGGTCACAGCGAGTCTGATTTCTTATGGTTTTATGCTGGTTTTGGACCGGGATTCAGTGTTGGTGTCGTGGGAGTTTTGGGAATCCTTCAATTCAAGAAGACATGGCGCGATGCATTCTTCAAATTTTTGGAAAATGCCAATGACAGAATTTGGGTTATGATCACATTGAAGACTGCTCGGCTACGGAGGAATTTCCATCAAGTATATGTACAAAAGCGCTTATATTCTGTTTTTTCTTATTCTGCAATAAGGTGCCACAACACAATTAGCTGGTTATCCATAACTACTTGAATTTGATAATAAGCACCTAAGTGCTCAAAACTAAGCATTTAGGTTTAGTTATGCTATAATCCTCTATGAACAAATGAATCCGAGTGCTTAAATAGAAAACCAGGATTGAATATTATTATCTATAGTTGGTTGATCTAAGATATCAAAATTTCTACAGAAACAGTAAGATAGTGGATATAATCATATAAATTTTTTTTGTTAATATTTCTTGCAAGTCTAAACATTATTTTTTCTAATACTAGCATATTGGGATACATACCATATAACCGCCATTCAAATAAAAAATTCTACTTCTACATGACTGTCAAGCATCAAAATAAAATTTCATAGCAACAATGTTTGAAATGTCAATTCTAATTTTTTTTCTTCGCCGCGAAAGACATAATAATATACTTGAACCAATTTGTCTTACATAAATTAAACGTAAGTAACTGCTAATCATGCGTTCATGTTTTTAAAATTTTTTTTCATACCATAATATGTACAGAAACAAAAATATTCTGAGTCTTTGGAAAGTGTTTATTCTACATCCAATGAGCAATGGAGGATGAAAGGGGTTTTCTTTTTCCTTAAAGAACACTTGCTAACATTTGTATTTTGTTGTGTTTCAGTGTGCTATGCCTATAACCATTCAAGTTGTTAGTGCTATTGTGGGATGTGGTTTTAGAAAGGAGACTTTCTTCCAGGTGTTTTGAGAAGGGATATTACTAGTTTTATTGTGTCGTTTTGTGCCTACATTTCGAAATATGGTATCTCCAAATGTAAATGTAATCTGAGGATTAGTCCTCCTCCTGTAAGCTCCGAGTTCTACATCAATAAAAGGGTTTATATGTATTCACAAAAAATAAACTGCAGTATTAATTTGTTGGATTAATCCTCTACACACTGACAGTATATACACTTTCACAATTGGATACATGACACATAATTCAAATTTGAATTTGAAACCCAAATTTTGTATATGTGTCACACATCCAACCGTGATAGTGTATGCACTATCAGTGTATATAAGATTTGCTCTAATTTATTTATGCAGATTAATTTAAGTACTTGACTCCATGTAATCTTAACAGGTAATTAATCATCATTTCACTTTGGCATTAGAAGTAAAAATTTTTGTAAAAATTACATAGGTGACAGGAGAGAGAAGATAGTAGAAGAATGCCACGGATTATCACTTGCAAGTAGCAATCCCTGTGCAAATACTAGTCAAGCTCTGGAAATCTAAGAGATTTTCCTCGTCTCTTATCCATAAAAACTTGGTAATGGATGGACAAGTTAAAAAATGTTTCTCTTTTGTACAATGGTATAGTACTTTTATATACAGGAACAAGCTAGTTTATTTCTTTTTTCTATATCTCATGCAAGATTTGTGGACTAAATTGCTACCCAATAACCCTTATATATTTAGAATCAAATCTAATTATTTCTCTTTAACTATTTTTGTTTAATTTTGATTGAAACTGCATACAGATCAATCCCAATATTAATGCTGCAAATTCTTTGAACTTCCAATGATTTCCTCTGGAAATATATCCAAAAGTCGCAAATAGGCTTGCCATTTAAGTCAACTTTGTTAGGCACCCAAAGGCTTTAACTTGATGAAGTAGCTTCCGTCGCATGACTACACAGCTTTTCCAATAGGGCAAATTACATTTTATCCCCGGTTTAATATTTTTTTTATATAATCCCCTTATAGTTTTAAAAACTATACATAACCCCCTCATGATTTAAATTAAAGTGTTAAAGTAACGAAAATAGTCATTCGTAGTGGAACTTTTAAAATGTCAAAATTACCCTTATTATGTCATAAGAAGACAAAAGATTAATAATAAAGGTTAATGAGAAGACAAAAGATTATAAATAGTTAATGAGAAAATAAAGGTTACATTGATGATTAAATTCACTATATTATGTCATACTGATTAGAAAACTCCAAAGAAAAAAGAGTAAATCTTATATACATTAACAGTATATACATTATCACCGTTAAATCCATGACATTATGTGTAAAAGTTAGGTTTTAAATTCAAATTTTGCATAATTATTATTTATCTAAGACTGACACGGTATACACTGTCAATATATATAAGAATACTCTTAGAAAATTATCAATAATTATAAAAAGGACAAATTACACTTGACCCTCTATGGTTTAGTTTTTTTTTTTACACAACCTTCCTATAGTTTCAAAAGTTATACATAACCTCCTCATGATTTAGATTAAAGTGTCAAAGTGATAGAAATTGTCATTCATAACGGAACTTTTAAAAATGTCAAAATTATAATTTTGGAAAATATATTTTTGCACGTTGAGTTATTACTAGTATATATTATATTCTGGAGAAGAAAATGTTTAAGAGGACAGTTTGGCATGAGATAAAACTAAAGTCACTATATTCCGAGGTCTAAGGCACTACCACCAACACACAAGGCGACTATAAATTACAGGACAAATTACATTTTATCCTCTATAGTTTAGTATTTTTGTATATAACCTCCGTATACTTTTAAAAACTATACATAACTCCCTTATGATTTGAATTAAAGTATCAAAGTGATGGAATGATAATTCGTAACGAAACCTTTGAAAATATCAAAATTTCCCTTGTTTAAAAATTAAAATAGTTGAAGTGACCAAAATATATAAACATAATATACATGACTCATTAATCCCGTATGATTTTATGTTTTACCATATAACCTCTTTATAGTTTTCAAAATATACAAATAATCCCCTTGTAGTTAATAAATAATTTTCAACTTTACATAGGAATATTTTTTACATTTTAGATGACTCCGTTATGGATTGCAAATTTCGTTATTTTGACACTTTAATCCAAATCATGAGTGAGATATGTATAACTTTTGAAATCATAGGGGGATTAGGTACAAAAATACTAAACCATAGGGAGGTAAAGTGTAATTTACCCTAAATTACATGTCGCCTAACAATGATGCTTTAGTTCATAGCGCGTCACGAATCGGGTACATTCTGTGCACAACTCTTTCTTCTTCTTTTTTTTCCCTTTTTATTTGGGGACATTGGAGACCGCTTGTGTGGAATTTTGACTACTCTCTTCTTTACTTCCTTCCATCCTTGGTCCAATTTGACAGCAGATTCTGAAAGATATTTTCACGGTGCGGACAAAAACTACTGAACCACTCGTGTGAAAGGAAGCAACAATATAGCACAGTACTACCATATTTCTGTTCCCTGACCCACGAGTCTAAAGTGCTGGTCTAATGATAAAAAGTGTTTGGATCTAAATAAGAAATACTGTACTAAATAAGCACTAAAAGGTAAAAACAAAGTCTAGAGAAGAGTCAGAAGACATTGCTTCTTTGTGCTATACCCTCTGGAAATGTATCTATGTCCATGTACAAAGAGTGATGGCTTATGTTGCTATCACTTCCCTCAAGCAAACATTAGACCAGCTCAAGATGAATTGCAAATTAGAATTCACATTTGATGAAGTAAAACAGTTCAAAGCTGTATCTGAAGAGATTTCTGTCATCCAAGAAATGCTTCAAGCTTCTGCAGATAGGAGCTATGATCATACCATGATGAAACATCTGGAGAGAGGCATAAGAGACATGGCGCATAAAGCGGAAGATTTTATTGAAGAATTTGTGTATATCAAAGCAGAGGCCCTGGATGATGCTGCTATCTTTGAGGAGGAGCTGAGTCTTCACCATCATATGAGGGAGGTTTTGAGTGAGATAAATTCTATCAAGGATATGTTGACAAAGATTTACCAAGAATCAGATGCAGCTGCAACCAAAGTTCCGCGAGCTAGGAATCATTCGGTGGAGCATGCATCAGGATGGTCTTCAACTCAAGAGGAAACTCTTGTCGTGGGAATAGACAATGATCTGTTAAAAGTCAAGGAGAAACTTACAGGACTGCCACATAAACTGGACATTCTTACAATTGTTGGGATGGGTGGAATAGGTAAGACAACCCTTGCTCGAAAGGTATTTAATGATCCTTTGATTGAGTATCATTTTTATGTACGTGCTTGGGTTACAGTATCACAGAAATATGTACTGAGAGACGTGTTACTAGGCCTTTTGTGTTCCCTCACCAGACTTGGTGATGAAATTTTCAAAGAAAAGAATGATCAATTAGCTGAATTATTGTATAGAACTTTGAAGGGTCAGAGGTATCTTATAGTTTTTGACGCTGTATGGGACGGTAAGATCTTGTATGATCTCAGAAGATCTTTCCCAGATGACAGGAATGGAAGTCGAATAGTGTTGACTAGTCGACTAATAGATGTCAATATGTGTGTAATCTGGACAGCCATCATCATCACATGAGTTTCCTGAGTCTAAATGACAGTTGGGAGCTGCTGCGTCACAAAGTGTTCTCGGAAGAAAGTTGCCCCCCAGAGCTAGAAGTTATTGGGAAAGAAATTGCTCAGAAATGCCAAGGATTACCATTGGGAATTCTAGCCGTAGCAGGTCATCTCTCCAGCATCAGAAAAACAAAAGATTGCTGGAAGACTGTTGCAGATGACATACGATCACCAGAGTCTAAAGATCAAGAGAATTGCTTAGACATTCTTGCCTTGAGTTATAAGTCTTTGCCTCATCACCTCAAAGCTTGCTTTCTATATTTGGGAGCTTTTCCCCAAGAGTTTGAGATCCCTGTCTGGAGATTGATCAGGCTTTGGGCGGCTGAAGGAATTCTCAGAGCAGAATGGCCAGAGACCCTCGAAGAAGTGGCAGAGATGTGCTTACAAGAGCTAATGAGTAGAAGTCTAGTTATGGTTAGGAAGAGAAAATCCAATGGTGGTATTAAAAGTTGTGGCATCCATGATCTCGTGAGGGACTTGATCTTGAGAGAAGTTGAAAGAGAAGATTTTCTTCTGGTGCTGAAGTCAGATGCTAATTTCTTTCCCACAGATGCCTATTATAAGCGTTGCCTCTGCTTCCATCATCAAATAAGCAGATCCTATGGTATGTTTAATTCCAGCAGCAGGATAGAACATTGTGACTACATGAAGCCTGCAATTCCTCATTGTCGATCTATTCTCTTTTATGGTCGACTTCAAGTGACAGAATTCGATAAGATGCTAGATTCTCGTGTTACTGTGATGGATTTGAAGTTGCTGAGGGTACTAGAGATTCTTTTTAGGTTCTTCGAGCATTTCCCTGTTGAGATAACGCAGCTAGTTCATCTGAGGTATCTTGCACTTTCCGCTCGTACTTATTTTGGTACATGCTTGTCCCAGCTGGGGAATCTACAAACACTAATTAATGAGCATGACAGGAATGTAACTTTACCTAGTGACATATGGAAGATGCCTCGGTTAAGATATCTTCATATAAAGAATGGTGCTTGTTTGCCCTATCCTGCAGGAGCCAAAGCTATTGCAAGCAACTCTCTTGTCCTAACCTACCTACATAAGCTTTCAACTGTAAGCTTTACCAATTGTTATAGGGAAACGTTTGCCTGTCTTCCCAATTTAAAGAAACTCGGTATCTGTGTGAAGCAACCATCACATAATTGCCTTGATGATCTTCTTTACCTTGCTGAACTTGAAAAACTTAAATGTGTCTTTCTGGGAAGAGGTCAATTCTCCGGTTGGAATGCTTTCCCACCAAAACTTAGGAAACTGACCTTAAACGGGAGCTTTCTGCCATGGGAGAAGATGAGAACTCTTGGTTTGTTACCCAATCTTGAAGTACTCAAACTGAAAGACTATGCTTTCCAAGGGCCAGAATGGCAAGTGGAAGAAGATGAGTTTTGTCAACTAAAATATCTGCTAATTGATGGGACAGATCTAGTTCAGTGGGGAGTAACTTGTTCTCATTTCCAAAGGCTACAGCAGCTGATTCTGAGATGTTGCAGACACTTGGATGAAATACCAAGTGAAGTTGGAGAAATTCCTACCCTGCAAATAATTGATGTGGATGATTCCAGCAGTCTTGCCGTGAATTCAGCAAGGCTTATTCAGCAAGAACAATACAGCATGGGAAACGATGGCCTAATAGTCAGGATACATCCTAGAGAATAGAGATTGATAGATCCATGGAGAAACTTCATTAGAGATGTCATCCCTTGTATACTTGTTTCTGTTATAACAAATTAATCAAGTTCATTTTTATCCAAAATTAGACAGTTCATTGCCAAACTTTTTTAATCAAATTGCCATGTTCTTCTTCACGTTACTTTTTCTGATCTCTTAGTCATTAATCTGTACTTGCTTTGTGACATGCTAACACTGAAGTGGTAGAAGAGCTCAGGTCTCTCATGCTATCAGGATTCAGATCGTGAGAAGCCATTCTGGTGATTGTTCTTATGTCTTTTGTTGATCAACTTCATAATCTGACTTTGGCACAAGCACATTCCTCCTTACTGGCCACCCACAGGTGTTTGTGATGAACTAAAAGTGCATCAAAATTGACCCAGCTTCGATCTATCCATTCCAATATTTTTGGTGTTATATTTCAATCTTGGAGTTTCTCAGGTCTATATAGCTCCTACATAATGGATGATTGTTATGTTTTTTTTTTTTTTAAGCACAGGTTAAAAAACTTTGTTGTACATACAAATCTTATTAGTGAATACTGACACCAATGTCTAAAGACAGTTGGCTGAAATTCCTAGTGGAGTTGGAGAAATTCCTACTCTGCAAATAATTGATTTGGATGATTCGAGCACTCTTGCTGTCACTTCAGCTAGGCTTCTTCAGCAAGAACAAGAAAGCATGGGAAATGACAGCCTCATTGTCAGGATACATTCCAAAGATTAACGGATCCATGAAGAAACTTCATGACTCCATTAATGAAGTTGGCTCTTCTAGACCATTTTTTTTTTTTGTCAATAAGTTGATCATGTTGCTTCTGATTCTCTTATTGGGAGTTCATAGCTGAAAATGTTTTATATGTTGTTGTCTGCAGAGCTGTTCTTCAATCATGTTAACATTTTGTTAGCTCTTAATTCACTAATCTGTGCTTGCTCTGTAGCATGAAGATTGTACAAGAGCTCGGGGCTCTCAAGAATTCAGATCGTGAAAAGCCATTTTGGTGAAAATTCTTATTGATTTCTTCATTAACATTATTTAAGCCTGCACAATGCGCAACCCTCACCTTCGGATTTTGTACTTCAATTCTATTTCAAATTTTCTGGATATGATAGTTAATTCCAAAATCTCAAACAGGGCCATTATATAATAGATGTACATGATATGATATTTTTGATGTTTCTTATTCCACCATCCAACACCGCCCCCCCGGGCCCAACAAAAAAAAAAAAAAACTATTGTTTGAAAGATGAAGTGTAAGGGTCACTAAATAGTTTTAATAGGAATTTTTTAATTTTACTTACAATTATTATTGAGATTTAATCATGTGGAATGTTACATATTTTAAATTACTACCATAATTAAAATGCATTAACTCTAATTGAAAGATGGGGAGCAATATGGGTACAACAAAAACTAAGATCACAAAGTGCCTACAACTTACCATACCACTAATCATACTTTTAGTATAGTAATAGATAGATACACACATCCAAGGTTTGGCAGTATAGTATAGTTGAAAGCAGCATTCGAACATTACAACACATGGACAAAGAAGAAAAGGAACCATTTGATTTTTGGGAGTGAAGTATTTTCAGTCCCCAGCAGTCTCTTTTCTCACATTTGAACATCTCATTGGATCTTTATGTAAAAGGCTTAATCAAGGACAGCATACAATTTAAAAAACAACTAAACAATGAAGGGAAAAAAACAAGTTGTACTTATTTAATTGATGTATGCACCGTGGCTAGGCGTAGTAATTTAGTGATCAAAGATCTGGCGGATAGATGAGAAGCTTGAATGCACTGTTCACCATTCTCTGATCCTGCTGTTTTTGCTGTTGAATTAGCCTAGCAGAGGCAGCAGCAGCTGGCGTTGGCCAATAAAGCTCCATATTCTGGAGGGCAGATACCTCCCCAAAGCCACAAGGGATCTCCTCAAGGTGTGTGCAGTGTTTAAGGACCACTCTTTCGAGTCTAGGAAAGTGATGACTTGAAGCATGCCAATGCACCAAATCTGACCTCCCAAGCTGCAATACTCTAAGAAGGCGAAACCCACCATCTAATGGTTCCCATCTGCTTCCCTTGAATGCATAGTCTTTTAGCTTAAGCACCTCAAGATTTGGCAGCATACCTAATGTGGACATTTCCGACCAATCCAGCAGCGTGTCGGATAAAGTGAGCTTTTTCAGATTTGGCGGGAACTTATAGGACTGCGGAAGACCAGGTATGTGGCATTTGAAAGGATCCAGGGGGAATGTGTCGTTCAACAACTTCAATGTTTCAAGGTTATCTAACTTAGCTAGATTATCAAACAAACTCATTCCTCCTCTTTCCTGCACAAGCATAACTAACTTGCCCCGAATTCCTAGTTTCTTCAAATTGGGAGTCCTTGATAATATGTTCTCTGTGCAACACTCAGGCACGATCGTGCAAATAGTTTGAATATTTCTTCGTACAAAAGGATCTTCACTATCCTTCCTTGTTTCAGCACGAGGCCCATGTAAGCAACTTAATCCACTTGTATGCAAATGTCGGAACTGTAACATTTTCCATAAATCTGCTTGAATGTCAAGATTCCGAGATGTTGTTACAACAACGAGTGTTTGCAGATTCCACAGATTGGAAATTGCTGGAGGAAGAACCTTGAAGTGGCCAGAAAGAGACAGAAATCGCAGGTGTACCAACTGCACTATCTCATTCGGAAAGCGTGAGAAGATAATTGACTTCAAATCCAATATCCTAACTAGATTAAAAGCCTCATGGACGAAAGATGTGTGTTCTCTAGGCACATCCCTTTCATCCATAGAGAAGCAGAAGAAGGAGCGAACATGAGGACCAGAAGGCCTTGAAGAGACAAACTCCAAAACATGTGAATGGATACAAAGTCGGCGACAGTAATTTGGGATTGAGGTCAAAGAGGCACGATCTGGTATACCCCTGATCACCTGCAAAAAATTTTCTTCTACACCTTCTCTTATGCATAAATCACGGAGCATATCATGAATTCGGCATGACTTAATCCGACCATTTGCCCTCTTCTTTGCCACTATAACCAGATTTCGGTCGACAAGATCCACCAAATACTCTTCTGCAATATCTTCTAAAGTTTCCTGTCCTATTTGTTGTATAAATCCCTCAGCAACCCATAATTTCAGTAATTTCGACACCGGGATCTCAAAGTCTTCTGGAAAAGCCCCAAAGTAGATGAAGCACACCTTCAAGTGATCAGGTAAGTGCTTGTAACTCAATGCCAAGACGTCCATGCATTGCGTTGGATCTCTAGCAACATATGTACTTACACTTTCGGCAACTTTGTTCCACCAAGTGCGTGTTTTCTCTCTCTTTGAAAGAAGTCCCGAAACAACCACAATTGCCAGAGGCAGTCCATCACATCGTTTTGATATCCGCTGTCCCAGCTCTTGTAGCTCTGGAGGGCAGCTACCCTCTCGGAAAACCTTCTTACAAAGTAATTCCCAGCTTTCTTCGTTAGTTAGAAAACGCAAACGATGAGGATTACAGTAAGGGTTAGCATGCATAGCCACCTCAGTGTTTCTACTAGTTAACAATATTCTGCTACCACATGCAGTATTTGGAAAAGCCATTTTGATATCATTCCAGGCCTCCGTTGTCCAGACATCATCAATGACAATGAGATATCTGTTGCTCCTTAAATGTCTGAACAATTCCTCGGCCAGCCTGTCATCATTCATTTTGTACACTTGGTCGGTGATGAGGCCCATGGAGTCTAAAATGCCAAGAAAAACTTCTCTTCTACAATATTGTTGAGACATGTAAACCCATGCACGAATATAGAAGTGATATTCAATAGAAGGATCAGAATAAACCTTTTTCGCCAAAGTTGTTTTGCCAAGCCCACCCATGCCCACAACTGATATCACTTCTAGCTGTTCTGGTCCATCAGTGAGCCGCTCAACCACTGTTCTTGCCTCTTCATCAAATCCTACAACATTTTCTTCCTCCACAATAGGTGCCCTTTTTCTGGCTGATGGTTTATGAGAAGGCTCTCCACTTTGCAGGCTTTCAATTCCAAACATCTTCTTATCATAAATCTCTTTGACCTTCACTTTGATGGATTTAATATCTTCTGACACACTTCGCAGCATATTTGAGTGATCTAGGGCATGAAAAACTCTTTTCAAGGCACTTCTTGCCTTTTGCATTGCTGCATGCACTACAAAAGTGTCAATGATATCTTCTGCCTCATAGGTCACATCTGTAATTTGTCGAACTATCTCTCTAACATATGCAGATTCATCACGCTTCTCCCGAGAGTCCTTAAGGAAAGCCTTCATCAAGCTAAGCTCCCTGTGAAGAGATTCGACTTGATCCTTCACCCCTGAAAGTAAGTCTACATGATAGAGAAGTAACTCCTTTAAATTAGCCAAGAGAAACTCTACAACGGCATCTGCCATCTTTCACGAGCTCTAATCCTACAGAAAGTAAGTCTGCTATCTTTGACGAAAAACTAAAGCAGAAACTCCAATCACCTGAATGAAAATAATGTACTGATTAGATTCTTATCAGATGCTCTAAAGAGAGGAATATGTGCAGATAAGCTTGCTTTAGAAGATGCCCTTTTTACAGAGACTTTCAATGCATATGAATTCAAATTTGCATCAAATGACATCAGACAGAGGAACAAAGCATGCAACCAGCACGTCATGATGATCACTGACAAACAGCAGCCAGAACTTTGAAGTCTTCCAAAATCTTTATCCTGATTCGTGATATTCAAGAAAACAATCAAATGAAGTAGTTCCATTTGATTGAACAACACATACCCACGAATCAACCTATTCCTCAAACAATAGGTTAGCATATTCAATAAACTTAATTTTGGTCCACAGATATTGAAAGATGTGAAATTACAAGAATTAAGTAAAGTTTATTAAAAAGCCAAAAAAAAGGAAAAGAGAAAAGGGGTAGAACTTGCAAAATGCTTTTTGGACCAGATAAGAAATTGAAAAG